CAACGTTAACCTAATGAATTGTCATCTCTAATCTATTTCTTCTATAACGTTTTTCCTCGTTTTACAGAAGGTTAAGATTTCCAAGAAGGTCAGCTTTTTTATTGGCAGGCGTAGCATGGGGCTTTAACACCATGGATTGGGTCCAGAGGTATTTCTCCTTGTTGGGCTGCAGTGGTGCTTTCGTTTCAATCCGGCAATGCATCTGAGGATTTGGCCCATATCTTGAAGAATTGTTAGTTTGCTTAGCTGATTTGGGATGGTTTGTTTGGCTCGTAACAAGGATTGTGATCTTATTTTTGGAATGGTTTTGTTTATTTCCCTTTATGGATGAGGGTACTTTTCTTTAATGTGCTGCTGAGAAACAATAGAATCTTTGAGAGTCTGGAAAAACATTGGGAGAAGGTTTTGTCCCTTGCTAGATTGTTTCTATTACTAGACTGTGGGCATAGCAATTGTTTCTATTACTAGACTGTGGGCATCTATGGTTGAGCATTGTTGGGAGGAAGTTCTACATTGGCTAATTAAGGGGATGATCATGGGTTTATAAGTAAACAATACTATCTTCATTCGTATGAGGTCTTTTGGGGAAACCAAAAGCAAAGTCGTGAGAGCTTATGCTCAAAGTAGACAATATTATACCATTATGGAGGTCCGTGGTTCCTAACATGGTCATGTCAGTCGAATCCTCAAGTGTCGAACAAAAATGTTGTGAATCTTGAAGGTGTAGTAAAAGATGACTCAAGTGTAGAATAAAGGGTGTACTTTGTTCGAAGGCTCTAGAGAAAGGAGTCAAGCCTCTACTAAGGAGAGGTCGTTTGAGGGCTCTATAGGCCTTAGGGGAGGCTCTATGGAGTACTTTGCTCGAGGGGAAGATTGTTGGGAGGGAGGCCCACATTGGCTAATTAAGGGGATGATCATGAATTTATAAGTAAGGAATACTATCTCCATTGGTACGAGTCATTTCGGGAAAACCAAAAGCAAAGTCATGAGAGTTTATGCTCAAAGTGGACAATATCATACCATTGTGGAGGTCCGTGGTCCTAACATCTATCTCTATCTCGAGAGACTTTGTAGTTACACTATCCTTTCGGGTTGGAGGTCCTATAGTCTCTAATTCAGCTCCTATTTTTGGGCTGCCCCTTTTTGCAGACCATCTTGTGTTGATCTGCATTTTTGTTTTGCTAGCCCTCTTGTGCATTATTCATATAATTCCTAATATATAGGAAAGCGTTGATTTCTCTTTCTAGCCACCCATTTTGAACCATCTTCTTCGTTGTCGACACAGGTGAGAAGTCAAATCAACTCAATAATCAACTTGGCAGAGAAGTTGTTTCTTTTTTCAAGTGGGAGTTTAGAAGACTAAACGCTGACAACAGGAACATAATCAATCAACAACTATACGAATGAAACAAAATGTTTTAATTGCAAACCAAATAAGAAGTCTCTGTCTCTCTTATCTCTCTTCATGAATATACTTCACAACCAATCCATTTATCAAATTCAAAATAGATTGAACCAAACACCTATTTACCAAGTTGATTCAGGAGTAAGTAGCTCGAGTATAAAGTGGCTGCAATTAATTTCTGAAGATATGAAAACCAGCTTTGAAGAGTTTCTGGTTTGGACGAGGCTCTTCTCCTCGACTTGCAGCACCTTACATAAGTTTTCTTTATTTACACCAATTAGGATGCCTTTACGTATCCCTTGCTTCAGTGGGGATACCTCATTTCCCTTTTTTCCCGTAAAATTTAGACTATTGGTTAATACAAGTTCTCTATTTCCTATAAAAAAAATGGAAAAACTTATAAACTACCCAGGAAAGTTCAAGCAGACGAAGGTTCATTTTTGTTAGTTCACTCCTGATTTACAGAAATTTATTCCAAGCTAAATAATTCATGTCTCACTATATATGACTATGGACAGGGTAAACTGTAACAGTCCAAGCCCACTGCTAGCAAATATTGTCCGCTTTGGCCTGTTACGTATCGTCTTCAGCCTTACGGTTTTAAAAAACATATGCTATGGAGAGGTTTCCACACTCTTATAAGGAATGCTTTGATCCCATCTACAACCAATGTGAGATCTCACAATCCACCACCCTTTGGGAGTCCAACGTCCTTGTTGGAATACCGCCTAGTGTCTGGCTCTGATATCATTTGTAACGGTCCAAGCCCACCACTAACAGTTATTGTCCGCTTTAGCCCGTTATGTATCGCCGTTAGCCTCACGATTTTTAAAACGCGTCTGTTAAGGAGAGGTTTCCACACCCTTATAAGGAATGCTTCGTTCTCCTCTCCGGCCGATGTGAGATCTCACATAAACCATCAAATTTTACTAAAAAGTGGAGACAAATTGCATATGACGCTCTAATTTTCTTTTACTAATACCAGAGAGGATGTTCTAACAGAGTTAGATGGCTAACCCATCTCCAAATCATCCATAAAAAATTACTAAAGAAGCAACAAAATGTATTATAGACTTAATGTCTCTATTAAGCTCAACTTAACTTGTTCAATATCAGATGGAATAATGAATAAACACTCATTTCCTAAACGCACTAAGAAGAACTTGTTTCAAGTGTACAACTATTAATTATAAACAATTGATTGATCCACCCAAGAACTAATGCCATTGTAACAACTATAGTTGAAAACCCATGAATTAGATAAACTTGTTCTACAAATGTGAGATTGTAGTTAAGAAAACAATCAAAAGCAGTATCCTATTCAACAGGGGGTGGTCAGATCATCCAGCCTCATTGAAGAATGAGAGTAATTCACATGGCTCTAGGGTGAAATAGACTGATTAGAACATATTCTTCAGCATTGTACAATGTATAAGCTATAGATCTTTAATTTTTTTCTTAGAAACCAGCATCGACAAGAAAATGTTTCCAAACTAAAATGATCGCTCATAAATTGACACTGAAACCTGAAGTTCGTCAATTACTTACCCGTGCAGCATTTCAAAAGTTTTTGTATGCTCCTTCAAATTGCTCTTAAACTTCCCCTCGCAATTCCTGAAATGTGGAGCCACAATCATTCACTGAGAGCATATTTTGGAAAGAATGTGTATGTTTAAGTTCGGATTTATACGATTAATCCTCCGTTTCGAATTGAGAAAGTTCGAGCAAGAAATGTTCTAAATAAGATGGTTTCGAACCATTCTATGTCAAGAGATAACAAATATAGAGATTCATTTGAAGTCCTTTCGGATCTGAAGTCATTCAAAATCCTACGGAAACAAATTCAGAGCAAAATACACAGAATGTTGTCTGTAAGAAGAAGAAACTGTGGAATTTCCCTCCTCTTTCCCGATGAACTCTGATTTTCATTAGGCGAGATAGGGAAACTATGATCAACCGAGAATCGAAAGCGGAAGCGAACAGTAAATGGGTTTCCGATTAGTTAATTTGTTGAACAACTGAACAACAATGTAGTTCAAATTGCCCAATAAAGAAATCAAGAACGACCTAATTCAGTCATCATGTTTGAAATAACACAGATAAGAAATCACTTACATGGATGAATTCATGGCGAAAGGAAGTATATCCTCCTCGACTACAAAATCGCTATTTACTACCACATTCCTTCTCCGCTCAAAACTACGTATCAATTCATTGATTTTTTTTTTTAATTCAAACACATAACAACTAAGAATTACATTATTATTAATCATAATTAAACCCACTTAACTAGAAACAGATGACCTCCTAACAAGGATAGCCATCCTGCGTTCATAAGAACTCTAATCTTGTCAGATTTTATTTTCTACTGTACTATTAGATCTCACATCGGTTAGAGAAACGAAATATTTCTTATAATGGTGTAGAAATCTCTCCCTAACAAACGCGTTTTAAAAATCGTGAAGCTGACGGCGATACATAAATAAACAATATCTGTTGGCGGTGGGCTTGAGCTATTACAAGCACGATGCACGTTCATTCAATGAAACTCAAATTCGAATCACATTATAGAATAAATAGTATTTGATATCATTTCACATTTCATTTTGGACACACTCGTAGCTAATATTCCTCTCCATCATTCACCCTACCAAACTAGTACATATCTTTTTAAACTTTATTCTCTTATTTTTCTCTCCGTCACATCTTTCTTTTATCTCATTTTGATAAGTCAGTGGATTCGACTCGATATTTGACAAAAACTAGCGTCCGATCACCTCATCAATTCAAGAAAAAAGCTGTAATTCATATGTAAGAATTTTTTGTTTTTATCGACCGTCAGATATAGATAACGATGATTAAAATTGATATACCAATCCTTTTGAATTATTGAATGAATTAAAGCTTATCGAATCTACCCATCCATAAAGAAAATAAAGAAAATGTAATTTCATTAAATATATATATATATATATTTTGGAAAGTTAAAAATTATATTGATTTGTTTTTTTTTTTTAATTAATATGTTAATTCATGCAACCCATTTTTGTAATAAAAGAGTTTGGGAAAGATAAAATTGGAAATTTATAATTACGAAATGGGCATTTTAAAAATAAAAATTAAAAAAAAAAAAAAAGGGGCGAGAGCTTGTCCACGTCAACAGCATATTTTTGAAAATTGTGGTCATTTATTTATTTTCCACGTCAACAGCATGACATCCGAAAAACAGGCTCTGCTTTTCGAAAGCTCCCATGTCGGTCCCACACTTAGCCTTTCTTTTGTCGTCTAGCTTGTCCCACGTGTCATCTTTCGATGTGGAATTACACGTGCCGCCTGATTAACGGCCCAGCTTCAGCCCTTAATTACCGCAATAATAGGGCTATTTCGGTAGTTTCACTTTCGCTTTGTCATGCGGCGAGTTCCTATTGGATGATTTAAAGTGTTTACGCTGGAGTGTCATGTAGACGATTATTCCCCAAATGATTCGCGAATATTAAAAAATTAAACGAAAAAAAAAAAGAATCTGCTAATTGAACTTTAATATTTTCGTGTTTTTTAAAATTTATTTATTTATTTATGGTATAATTACCGGAAGAGGCTGATAAATTTGGTAAAAAAAAAAATTGAATATGGAGAAATTAAAGTCGGCGCCGGAGGCCGATTCAGAGCGGCCCAACCTGCCACCGGGGTTCCGGTTCCACCCGACCGACGAGGAGCTGGTGGTTCACTACCTAAAGAAGAAGGCCACTTCACAGCCCTTGCCGGCGGCCATCATCGCCGATGTTGACCTGTACAAGTATGATCCTTGGGAGCTTCCAGGTGTGTTTTTCGCCGGAGTGAGTTCCGTCGACAGAGGCTAAAACTGGGATTTTTAGTAAAATTAGTCAAGTTTTGATTTTTTGTTTGCGGTGAAAATTTCAGCAAAGGCTAATTATGGAGAACAAGAATGGTATTTTTTCAGTCCACGAGATCGAAAGTATCCGAACGGAGCTCGGCCTAATCGAGCCACCGTGTCCGGGTATTGGAAGGCGACAGGAACCGATAAGCCGGTGATCGCTTCGTTAGAAGGGAACCGGAAAGTTGGTGTTAAGAAGGCTTTGGTTTTCTACCATGGAAAGTCACCAAAAGGAATCAAATCCAATTGGATCATGCACGAGTATCGCTTAGTCGATTACAAACACAACCGCGGCAAGAAAAACTCATTGAGGGTATGAATTTTACACAAAGTTCGAATCTTTTCTATTAATTTTTTCTACCCAAAATGAAATTTTGTTGTTTTTTTTTTTTTTTTTTTTCTTTTTAGCTCGATGATTGGGTTTTATGTCGGATTTATAAAAAACCCAACTCCAACAAATTGGGAATCGATCACGAGCAAGAAGATAGTTCGAATTATATGGCTGAACAAACACCGCCCATGACGGCGACAATGAATTTTAGCGTGTATCCAGAGTTAGCTTCTTCGTTTCTTCCAACGAAACGGATGTTGCTATGATCACTGTCGTCGACGGTGAGCAACCGTCGAGCAAGAAATTACAATTAATGGAAGGTGGCAGTGACAACTCAATCGCCGCCCTACTCAGCCAGCTTAGAAAATAAAGTTTACAACCTAGCCCTCTATTTTTGGGTTGGATGGTAAATTTATTGAAAAATTATTTTTAAAAAATCTACTTATTCACCGTACATGTTAAATTAATAATTAAAATCTCATAAACTTGAAATATCAAATATTTACGAGTCACAACTTATCATTAACATTAGTTACAAATGTTAATTATTTTTAATATTTTTAAAAGTAGGGTAGAATTTAGTTAGATCGTAACTCTATTTTTGGGTTGGTCAGGTTGACCCGATCAAAAAATATCACCTCACAAACCGAACCAAAATTTCAATCCAACCCAAACCGAAAAAAATGCAACTCAATCTTACTTTTATAATTTGAATTGGATAGGTCGAGTCATACGAACACAATATTAAACCTCTTATAGGTAACATGACCCAACCTTTAAAGGGAATATTAGAAAAAAAAAAGGGGGGGGGGGGG